TTATTTTGGCAATAAGGATATAGGCACTGTCGTGTCTATTTCTTGCTTATTTTTGCCATAGCAGTATCAAAAAGATTTAAGTGAAAGATAGTAAATGCCCTGAGCAACTTCACAATATTAGCAGAATCAATGTCATGTAGGTACTCACCTGTATTTTTTTAACCCACTCCAATCTTGAAACATGGGTGACAGAAACTGGTACTGAAAATATTAAAAATCATTTCTTGAAACACACAATTTATAAAAAAATAATGTAGGCACAGGGGAACCGAGTGGAGTGGGAAAATTTTACTCAGGTTTTTTTTCAAGGTGGACATAAACGCATGCTTAATTAAGGGTTTGATGACATACTCTAAATTCCAATAAATATCAAAAGTAAAACTGCTCTATTTCATTATCACATCTTACTTATATTAATTATTTCGGAGCAGCATTGCTCCAAGCCGTCGGCACATTTTTAGCGGTATAGGAAAAATGGCCGCTAGAAAGCGGTGACGTTGAAGAAAGACGTATGAAAGACAAGTGACACTATCAATATTGACACTGTTGCCGGCCGTTTTTTCACCACGAAAGACGTTGCCAGATTTCCTGTGTTGCGCCTTGTCAGGCCTCAGTTGACCCCACGTGGTATCTATGCCCTTGTATGAGCCATGTGCGATGTGCATAGGAATAGAATTTTCAGATGAAATTGTTGGTGGTGCTTGGGGCGATATTGCCATTGTGCATGAAAAGTGCCTGACGCCGGTGTGGTGGCCACCATATAAACAGCAAGTACCGGATAAGCAGTACGATGCCGAAAGAGTGTTTTTTGAGGGCGGTAGGTATATTCTTCAAACTTTACGTATTATTAAGGGCCGTATCGCTATAGTCAGTAGTCCCAACAATTATTGTAGGACGCCTCCTTGATTTTCGCAGTTTTCTACTGTTTCGTTTTACCGCTCGATTTCGACGTTATGTTACAAATATCTATTCGCTTCAAAATCTTCATACTTTTGATTTATATCTATTTTATCAGCCTGAAATTTCCTACGATTCAAGTAGAAAACATAACTTTACAACCCCAGCCTTTTTGAAGAGGAGAAAATACTATGGATTCAAGGAACAGCATTAATTCAATTTGAATATTTTTCAAATAATGCAGCTGCTAATTAAACTGCAAAAATTCATTACCCACAAGACTTTTTTATTACAATGTGGGACTTTATGTTTGTAGAACAATGAGTCTGTTCAGCAAAAGTAAAGCTGTACAGCATTTTTATACCGAATAGCAGTAGCCATGGGATTTGATACGTCATTCGGACATTAGTTGGTTAGGTATATGAAATTAGAAGAATATTATTTTGGTTTTCAGATCTTGTACTTTTCGAAGTTAGGAGGACATGATATTACCAATAGAACAAATATAATTTTGAGGAGCCAAATATATAATAATTTGGCAGCAAGCTACAATTATTTGGGAACTAAACAAGAAAAGAAGGCATTCAAAACTTCATTTCTCAACAAGGTTGTAATAAGTACTAACAGATCCTTATAGGTTTCCAAACAGTTTCAGACCTATTAACTAATTTTGTTTTTTGTATCTGATGTAACATACAAGACTTGGAGTACAACTGTATTCAAAAATCCTTTTTTATCTGACAGCTTTATATATAAGTAAACAAGTAAAAAAATATTTACTTATAAAAAAACTAAAACATAGAATGTTCTATCAGACAATTTATTCTGCATTGTAGTTGTCATTATTTAATTTTTCCCCAGTCAAATAATGATGATTGATTTAAAGTTATGGTTGGATTGTTTAATCTTATTTTGTATACAGTGGACTATATCACATCTATACAGGGTGACTTTGAAGTTGAGTCATTAATTTTCAGATAATGATTGTAGAAGGAAGATAAACCAAAATATGTGTGTAAAAATAAAAAAAAAATGTTACCTTGTTTTATAAAGTATCCTCCCGACAAGTATTTCAGTGCGGACCTGTATTTGATCGTGAGGTCCCCTGTGAGGTCTTAAGTCACCTGATTCACGAGCCCGTTGTACTACATTAACAAAGGCACGAGGGGTTGGTTGCACTCGATTGGGAAACCGATCCGCATAAACATGTGCCATTTTTTATTTCGTTTGAGCCACGCAACAGATACCACTATTCACTGACACTGACTGTATACAAATGAATGAAATGATGGTAAAAACATCGTTCCAAATTCTTTCGCTTTTTTGTTTCCGATGCGATGAACCGATACGGCGGATTATATCCGTTGTCGCCAAACACGACCACATAATATTATTATTGAGACAGGGCGGTACTCAAACTTCCAAAGGGCTATAACTTTGTTACTTTAATTTTACCAGAAAAATGGTAAAGGAAAAAAACATTTCTTTTGATCAGATCTACTCACTGTTAAAATAAATGACTCAACTTCGAAGTACCTGTATATTGAAATTTTATTTCAAGGGGCTGTTCTTTCTGGCACCCATGCTACCAAAAAAGATGTGTGAAGAAGATCCCATTAAAACTTGGTTAAAGCTTGCACAAAAAGATATAAAACAAAATATTCATATGTCTTTTTTATCCTCAGTAGTAGTAGTAGAAGGTAATATTGTGTTAACTAAAAACAATATTCAACTTTGATTTTCTACTCACATTATTTTTTTTTTGTTAGACAGTGTCACAAAGGGAAAGTAACTATAAGAAAGTTATTAGTGAACATCAGTCATTAGACATGTTTGAAAGGAAGTTCAACAAATATTTAATAAAATAAATGCCTCTCAGGTTGTGGCTTCATCTCAACAACAGTGTTGTAGAGCCAAGTAATTCAAATTTTGAAGTAACCGATGATATTTTGAGGAATGTGAGACATTTAGAGCAAGATTTTGACAAAAGTGATAATACTGAACAAGATCTATACATCACTTATATGCGAGGTAGATGTAGATTCTTCACAACTATGCGGCTCTAAAATCAAATTCAAGCGGATAACCAAATGGAAATGGTATTTACCATTTTGGATTGGTATTTACCGATCCGTTCAAGCGAGTGTGGTTATCAGTTTGGTTATAAGATCCGTGACATCATGAATCAGCTGTTATGTCATTGTTATCACCGCAAAATTGTGGTATTTACCCAACTCCGGAGTAGTTTTATATTTCTGGTTATTATTTGACATGTGACAAGTTAGAATTTTGCCGGGTATTGGATATTTTTATTGTACTTCAGCTTCATTTTTGGGAAACTTGATACAGGCTGACTTCAGTTTTAGCATAAGAGAGCACCTTATTATTTATAATCATCACTGTTGTTGGGGACACTTTAAATCTAGTTCCTACACTTAAAAAAGTATCCTGTATAGCCATATACCACAAGAATATTAAAATATGGCCGTATAAACTCACTGGATGATGTCCACCTGTATACGGTTTTGTTAATATCTTTTTTTCATCGCTTTTTCATCATTTCTGCTAAATCAATAAATATTTTCTTTGGCATGCGGAAAAGTTTAGAGAATTGAAAGTTATCATAGCTACAAAGCCATGGTTCCATCAGTAAAAATTTTTTTCGGAAAAAAAAAACATTCCTCCCATTAATATTATGAAAGTTTTCTTTTTTTTAACTTTCCATACCCCGTTGTAGACGAAAAAGCACAGATTATTAAGTGATAATAAAAATAATCAGAAATTATATACGCGCTTTTCTAAAATAAACAACTTGCAACAAACCGCGGTTAAAACCAACGCGTTCAAGCGATTCGAGTAACTGACGTCACCATCCCGTGTGTCATCTTGAACCATATTGTAACCGCGGTACATAATACGGAAATTTTGGTTATCCGCTTGGATTTGATTCATGGCCCGTATCGTCAGTCGTCCCTACAATTGTAGGGCGCCTTTATGGCCTCCTTGATTGTCATAGTTTTCTACTTCTCCGTGACAGAACTCTATTTTGAGGTTATGTCACAAACATCTATTTGCATCAAATTATGCTTGCTTTTGAGTTATATCATGTTTTATCAGCCTGAAATTTCCAACAATTTAAAAAGAAAACATATCTTCACAATAGGAGAGCGCTGACGCTGACACGGGACAAGTGTAATCTACAAATTTTTGAAGGAGAGAAAGGAGTATGGCCTTCTTGATTTCTATAATATTACGTCTTCTTCGTTAACGCAGATGTATGTCCTCCTTTTGATTTTGTAAACCTTCCTTTCCGCAAAAAGTCCAGAAAAGATGGAATGCAATGAAGATTCCAACTTTTCTGCACAAACACAGAAAGGGTAGCTCAGTCGGTGGCATGAAGACATCTACAGGCGTGTAGCTGTGTGTCGACCATGGCATGGCTAGAGGATAGAAGAACAAACAGAACACAAAAATTTAACAGATTTTATTTAACAAAAAAGCATTTTCATTACATTTGAAATTGAAATTTTAAAGAACAAAATAAGTTTTAAATCTTTGGCGCTGCTATAAAACTATACACTTATCTTTTGCTAAGCTGGTCCATTTTCACTGGACTGAAGCGAGGATGGCCAGGTGCTTGAAGTGGAGGTCCCAGTTATGAGGGGTGCCCTCACATTTAGTGGCTTCAAAACTAGATGTAGGCGAAGTTGAACTTAAAGGTGATGGCGCTGCCAAGGCACATGCATGGGTGAAGTGATAGGCCAAGCAATGCAAAGTCAAAGACAAAGGCAAAAGTCAAAGACAAAGGCAAAGGGAAAGGGGGTGGCCCCAATCTGAAAAAGAACCGTGTTCACTGAACTATGAATATATATACGCACACAGAGGTAAAATCGATGTGGATCGATTTCTACCTCGATTTGATTAAAGTTATGGCGAATGATCGAAGTAGTCGAAAAAGACGTTCGATGGATATTTCAAAATCGTACAAGAAATAAACCACTTAAGGCTGGTCCAGACACTACGTGTTATCAAACGAAAAAACGTTCATACAAATTGTTCGACAAAAAGTACAAAAGATAGCGCGGCCACACGTTTACAACTAATCGGTCAAATTTTAGTTTTGCGACGTTTTCAGTCATGGAAGAAGCACTTCTTTGGTCGTTCTATTGTATTTGCATGGCGATAAAAGGCAGAAATAAACGAAAAAATCGAAGATTAAGATGGTCGAGGGAATGGTTATTAAAAAGACAGGAATTTTCTCATGTCAGATTATTACGTGAACTTGAACCAGATCGTAATTACCTGAGCATGGACACTGAAACATACAACCATTAATTTGTTAAAATCTGTTACTCCTTACATTGAAAGGCAAAATACCTGTATGAGAGAAGCCATTTCAGCTCATGAGAGACTTAGTGCCACGTTAAGATTTCTTGCTACAGGAAGAAGCTACAAAGACTTGGAGTTCACCACCATCATGTCCAAGCAATCACTGAGTGAAATTATACCGGAAACTTGTGACGTTATTTACAGGGTTTTAAAAAAGGACTTCCTAAAGGTGAGTTTTGGAAAATACTTTTATTAGAAATAAACTAAACATTAGTGAATAAAAGTAAAAAATAAAAAAAACGTCTTCCATAAGAATAATTAATTTAGTGATGACATGTTTTTGATTTCTTTAAACACCCTCATTAGGTTTAAAATTTAAAACATCCTGAACAAGATCTTTGGGATTAGAATCTGTGTCCTTTTCTGAAACTGGGGTTCGATAGTCTGAAAGAGTAAAATTTGTGTTAGCGGGTTCCTCCGGTGTGGTTGAATTATGAATTAGTTGTAGCTGTTGGACATGCTGTTCTTGACCGATTTCCGGTACGTAATACCCTTGACGCCAGCCTTGACTTGAAATTTGTCTATTTGGTTCGGTATTGGTGACACAAGGTGGCGCATATTGGTTAAAGTGTGGCTTTCTGGTTTCTCGTGGAGACTGTTGAGGAGGGTGTTGGTCTTCAGTTATAATTTTGGAATATCTATGTAAGGATAATATGTCTGCCTCAAATAAAACATCAGAGATAAGTTTCATTGCAAATTTAAGTTGATCAGGATGAACTGATCGAAGTCTATCAGCGACATGTTTTCCAAATCGGTCATGTGAATCTTCCTGTAATAAGTCCAATTTTTTATTAATTTTAGACATAACTTCGGCTGTTTCGTTGTTATTTGAGGCCGCCTTCTTTTTGCGATTTACAGTGCGTGTAGGTAGCTGGGCACTGGTAGCGGTATCACTAGTCGGAGTAGATGGCCGACCTTTAGATGGTGTAGCAGTTTTTCAATAGGTCATAGTTTGTATAACATGTTATAAAAAGAGAATTCTATAATTCCGGGCAATAAAATGCTTCCAATACCTATATAATGTAGTTTTATTATTAATAAATAGACATTACTTACCTCTTTTTCACTTTCCTCTTGATGTGCCTCATCATCGATAGTGTTTGTCGACTGTCTTATTTGTTCTTGGTCATTCAGAAAGTCAAGCAAATCAAAATACCATAACGTCGGGTTGTAGATATCATCTTCACCAGCACCACTTTTTGTGGATTTCATTATTTTGGCACGCTCTTTTTTGTAAACGGTGCGTAAAGAGTTAATTTTCTTGGTAACTGTCTCTTTGTTTGCCGCTTCATCAATCTCCTTGTATTTTTTAATCATTATTTCATATGCCTGTGATTTCTTATTCCGATCACTATACTCGGCACTTTTAACTTGCCACAAACAAGGAAAACTACGATAGAGTTCGAAAAATTCTCTTAAAAATTGTCGGTAACACTGACGAAGATGAGACATATTGCTTGTAAAGTTTAAAATGCAAAATATATTTAAATACGCATACACAAAGTAACACAGTGTGATACGTATATACTATGAAAATATACTAAAACAATTTCCAATAAAACCGAAGTCTGTCCGCACGCTCCAACTTGTCGAATCAAGTTTCATAAATGATGCCTCGCACTTCAAATTTTCGACTTATCGTACAACCTTATTTCGATCATGCAAGACGTACGTTTTGTGGTCTACACGCGCCGTTTTACTTGATAAGATTTGTCTGATTCGATAAATAGTTTGATAAGACGTAGTGTCTGGACCGGCCTTTATTACATATCGACTATCTATAAACTACAGGCAGACCCAGCAAAAAAACTGTATAGTATAATAAAACTCACCATTTTGTCCTATTCGGACACACATTCTACAAACCGCTAGCACATGGCGCTATATGACCTCATGCTACAGAGAACAAAATTCTTAGCTCTTGTTAGGTCGGCGGCTCAAGTGAAAAGGAAGCGCGAGCGCGAGGAAGATCGCAGATCAGGAACCCGCATCAAGCGCGCTCCAAGCGGGAATGTTTTCAAGTAAAAAAACTAGAGATGGGATAAGCTAGAAATGGGATTAATGAGTTGCGGTTCTGAAATGAAAATCGAGAAGTAATTTAATAAATACAATCGGACGGTGAAACCGTTACAATTTCCGACATCTGACAGTTCTGACTTGAGGTTGTTTTGACGTTTAAGTCACATGACAGCTTGACAGCAGAACCATAATTTATAATTTTCTTGCAAATAATTATCGATCAGTCAAAAATACCTCGCTACATTGAACAAATTCCACAACCTGTGGCATCTTCAAGAAATTGTCGAGTTAGGAAAATTAATGCACATGGATATATTATACTATAATATATTTCTGTGTATGAAAGTCCAGAAGCTTACAACCAAGCTTGATGGAGGTTGGTAAGTTACAAAACAAATCATTGCATATCCATATTATATACTTATCGCATTCTTTTCAGGTGTGATTCATTATCACAGACTTTATGAGAAGTTGATTCCTCAGTAAAATGCTATGTTTACTTTGGAAGGATAAGGAGGTGAATGATCTTTCTAAGAAGGAATTTATGCATCCAGGCATAATTGAAGGAATCTTACAGAAACAAAACGTGAATTTGAATTATGTGACCGATATGTGCTACACTGCAATTTGTTAATTAAAGCCTGGCATAAACCTGTATGATCATAGTCATAATGATAAGAATGAACACTTACGAACTTGAAGACAAGCTGTGCTAAGCAAGTATGTATACTTACTTAATGTGTAAAGGTTCTGAAATTGAGTCCATGGTAAATTGACAATCATGATTTCAGGATAAAAAGAGCATGGGCATGTAGGAGCACCAATTATGAGACATTACAAGGTGTAAATGGAAAAATGGAGTTGCAGCATGAAGTTAAATTCTTCATTACTTTGTACCATCATGGCAGAAAATTCCACAACTAATTACAAGAAAGCTGTGGGAATCAATTCCCTGTATAAAAGTCCAGAAGCTTACAACCAAGGTGTTCTCTTGATGAAGGTTGGCAAGTTACAAAACAAATCATGGGATATTCATATTATATACTTATTGCATTATTTTCAGGTGTAATTCATTCAAACAGAATTTACAAGAAGTTGGTTCCTCCATGGATAACAAACATATCCCGAATGCAACTGCATTGTTGATGTCAAGATGCCTGTTCACAAATCATTACTGGACTCTATGTGAAGTGTCAAGCTACAAATATGTACAATGTGTGTATGTGAAGATCGTAATTACCATTTATCATTGTTATTTCAGGATGCTTGAAATACCATATCCATGTAGGATTACCAAATATGAAGTATTATAGGGAGTAAACACAGTTGTAGCATGAATTTAAATCAGAAAAACAGAAATTCAAATCTCAATACTAAAAGTTTTTAATTTATTTGGAACCCTAACTTAAAAGGGAAAATCTATCAAAAGTATGGCATTTGAAAGGAAAGCATTTTGTGAAGTTATCCTGCCTTTCAGTGATCTCGATGTTTGGCCTATATAAACTAAATTACAGTTGTTGCAATTAATGATAGACAGTGTTGGTTGAATCAAGCAACTGAACCTTATCCTTCATTTTGGACAACAAACTGTTGACTGTGAGCACCGATTTACAAGCAAAACGACAATTAAAGGAATTATACAGCCTGATCAATTTTGGTGTTAGTTCTTTGATGTATGACAAGACAACATAATTAACTCTGGAAATTGGAGCAACCACTGTGGTGCTGTTATTGTCAATGGTTGAAAAGCCTAAAAGTTTCCCAATTAACAATTAATTGTATTTTTTGCCCAACTGGTCGTTGGCAATGGCAACGACTACTGCTCATATATATATTGGAATCTTTTCTCTGGGATATCGACAAATTATGCTTTTTGACTGACAATACTCAAGCTTTCGACAGACTATGCTGCAGACATCAGGAGCTAAAAACAAATTAAAAATAGTAAAATAGCAACCACGCTCGATTAGAAATCTGTTTACTTACTCCGTCAGTGATAGTGGTTCTAGTATTTGATGTTAAAAAATGTAAAACAGGACACATGGTAAGGTGATAAAAAATATATTTGGTGTATATACTGTTTCACACCGAGGTCAAATTGGTACCGATACATAACGTGCTTCAATCGGCATCCAAATGTATATTACGATACTATTTTTGGTACTCCGTGTATCACTTTTCTTGAATTTGATAGTACAACGCCTTGGAATGTCTACTGGCGTCAGTTTGAGGCAGCCGCGAATGCAAATGGTTGGTCATCGACCGAAAAGGCAACTACACTCACTTTGGCCCTACGAGGATACGAGGAGATGCTGCAGCTCTTCTTCAAAGAATATCACCCGAAAAGCAAGAGGTCTACGAACAACTAGTAGGACATACTCAACTCAAGAATCGGTTCCAGAAGTCAGGCGAGTCCTTGCAGGAGTTCGAAGCGGATATTGCGCGGTTGGTACGATTAGCATATCCCGATGTTCAGGAAAGGATAATGGAGCGATTGCCAGTTCAAGCATTCCTGGATGGATGATGGTGAAATGAGGCAAGCGTTACTACTGGCACATCTCCATAAGTTAGTAGATGCGCTAACTCAGGCCTTCTAAGCCGCTAAAAACACAAATAAAAGCCAGGTCCGAGTCCGCCAGATGGTACCAGGAGATAACGAGTTCGAAAAGACCGTCACGCGCATTTTTAAGGAACTTGATGGTGAACGTCGCCGCCAGAACAGCAGGTGGAAATGTTGGAAATGTGGAAAAATACGGCACGTTAGGAGACGCTGTCCTGAAAGTGCTAGTCCTCATCCGGCTAATCCGGAAAACTAAGGGAGGTCGATATGAAGGGGCTATCGTCGACCTGTAGCCAACAAGCCCCACCGTGTGTGTTTTTGTCGATGCTTTTCGTTGCAAATGCCCTTGTGCATGCCGATAAAAATTCGTGTGTGACTAATGGATGTCAGTCACTAGCCGGTGTCCTTGAAGAAGGGCTCGTAGCTGGGACACTGCTGTCCAGTTTCTGCAGTAATTCGAAATATGCCAGCTGTGGAAAACTCAGGGGTCATTCCTAAGGAACTGGAAGAACTAATATCGTCATCAGGCAGAGATCTAAGACCAGACCAAAGAAATAAACTGAAACATCTAATACATAGATATCGGTATGCATTCGATACTGGACAGAAAGGTAGAACCAATATAGTCCAGCACAAGATCAATACGGAAAATGCCCGCCCCATCTGGCAGATGGCAATAAGAGGGCTCCCCCTTGCTAAAAGAGAGGAGGCTGACAAGATCGTAGACAGTATTATGACCAACGAGGGAATCATTGAACCGTCCAACAGTCCATGGGCCTCACCGGTAGTTTTGGTTAAAAAGAAAGATGGTTCAACCAGATTTTGTGTGGACTACCGAATGTTAAACAACGTGACCAAGAAGGACAGCTACCCTCTACCGCGTATTGATGGCACTCTGGATACCCTGGCTGGATCAAAAATATTTTCCACCTAGACCTAAAAAGCGGATAGTGAAGTAGAATTGGCCCCTGAAGATCGGGAGAAGGCAGCATTCACGGTGGGCACCGGATTATGGCAGTTTAATGTGATGCCATTCGGCTTGTGCAATGCTCCTGCCACCTTTTAAAGGCTGATGGACACGATTCTAATAGGACTATCCTGGAAAACGTGCCTGGTTTACCTTGATATTATCGTCATGAGAAAATCATTTGGGGACCACATGAAGAACCTAAAGGAAGTTTTCTTAAGGCTACGAGGTTCTGGATTGAAATTAAGACCAAAGAAATGCCACATGTTTCAAAGAGCTGTGCAGCATCTTGGCCATGTTGTTTCCAGTCAAGGAGTCGCGGTCGACAAGGAGAAAATAAAGACTGTAAAGGAATGGCCAAACGTGAGCTACGTAGCTGCCTAGGATTGTGTACGTATTACCGACGTTACGTGGAAGGATTTGCTAACATCGCAAAACCACTGACCAGGCTGACTGAAGGGGAACGCATATTCCAATGGGATCAGGATTGCCAACAAGCTTTTACCCACTTGAAAGAAGCTTTAACAAGCGCCCCTATACTCAGCTATCCACTGCCAGAAGGAAAGTTTGTGTTAGACACTGATGCTAGCAATGTGGGTATAGGTGCTGTATTATCCCAAATCCAGGAAGACAAAGAAGAGAAGGTCATTGGATATTTTAGCAAAACACTGTCCAAACCAGAGCGTAACTATTGCGTTAACCGGAGGGAGTTGCTGCCCGTCGTAAAGGCAATGGAACATTTCTACAAAAACCTCTGTGGCAGAAAATTCTTACTCCAGACCGGTCACGCAGCTTTAAAATGGCTTCTCCAGTTTAAGAATCCAGAGGGTCAAGTTGCAAGATGGATAGAGAGGCTGCAAGAGTTTGACTTCGACATCGAACATCGAGCGGGAAGAATCCATGGAAATGCAGATGCCTTATAGAGGAGACCCTGTTTAGAGGATTGTAAGCATTGCCAGCGCGCAGGGAGAAAGACGCCCAAGTATTAAGAACCACTATCGTTAGTGATACTTGGCAAAATGAAGACCTCATTAAAGATCAAGAGGGCGACCCCGATCTCCAAATAATTCTAAACTTGATGAAAGAACAATGGAAGCGAGCCTGGGAAGAAGTTGCCAAGTATTCCTCTACCATAAAATCATATTGGGCACAATGGAATTCTCTCGTTATGGACGACGGACTCTTACTGCGTAAAATGGTGAACCACGACCGCAAAGAGGAAATCCATTCCGGTGTTTCTGGAGGTCATCTCGGAGTTACAAAAACTCTGAGAAAAGTGACGGAAAGATATTACTGGGTCCATAGCAAGGAGGACGTGAAACACTGGTGCAGGAAATGTATTGTGTGTGCGGCAATACAACGTGGGGAGCCGCTTTGAACGGATTGCTATTGATGTGGCCGGACCCTTTCCAGAAAGTGAAGCAGGGAATAGATACATAATTGTAGTAAAGGATTACTTCAGCAAGTGGGTTGAGGCATGCCCTCTGCCAAATCAGGAAGCCTCTACGGTAGCCGATGCTTGAGTAAAGGAATGGATCTGTCGATTTGGTGTATCTTTAGAGTTGCATTCGGATCAAGGGCATAATTTCGAGTCAAATCTGTTCCAAAGTATCTGTCAAATCCTTGGGATTAAGAAGACCAGGACTACTACCTTACACTCACAGTCAGATGGAATGGTGGAGCGCATGAATAGGACCATTAACCCGTATCTGGCTAAGGAAGTCTCTAAAGTGTATCTAACGAAGCTACAAAGTAATCGTAAACAGTGGTTGATTCGTGATCAACGCGTGATCGGTAGCCATGGCGCTCTGTCGGCCTCTTCCTGATTGGCTTGTAGCGACGAGCCTCCAGACAAAGTCGCACGGTTGCCACGCTCGGCGAGTTTTCGCCAGAGTGGTTGATCACATTCGCATGGATCACAAATCAATCTGTTGGTGCAATACGTGCAATAACTGTTGTAAAGGACGTTATATAACAATAAATGGCATCACAAAGGTATACATTCCAATTTGATCTGCAGCAAATTATGAACGGCATATACGGAGATGCGAAAACAAGCTCAAAAAGGTGAAGAAAATTTTTGTGCAATCTTTATAGTTAAATTTTTCCTAAGAGATAGCATCAGTGAGGGAATTTTTTTCTATTGTCTTATTTTTCACATTAATGCGATGTCGAGGTATGTGGCCCTATCGCAATTGAAAATAAGGTTTCGATAATCCTTCCATAAAGTTTCGATGAGTACATCTGAAATAACCTTGAGATATTCTTCAGGGAAATACAAAAATCTCCTTTTGTGTTTTTTTGTGCAGATTTATCTATTAAAATCCTATCCGCAATCTATTTTCCGTGCACACAACTTCAACCGAATGTATGCCATATATGATATTACCGTTTCCAACTTTCACCAAGGTTAATAGGAACCATAACAGCATCTCCCCTGCAATGGCAAAACGCAGTAACTCAAGTTACTAGGTTTTGGCTTTGTAGCGCCAGATGGATTGGTCACCTTCCGAGCTATTTGCTACTACAAATAACTTTATTATAGGCCAATTAGAATCATAGATACAGGCATAGGAGGAATCGTATCTCCCACAGTTTTGCTGGAATTACTAAATCAAAAAACTGTATTTGAAGTTGCTGGTAGCTGTTCGGTTATTTTACACAGTCATGCGCTGAATGCTAAAAGAAAGCAACGTATCTGCAGTTGCTGTGTTTTGGAATAGCAAAATGTTCTGTTATTTGTCATATACTGCTACGTATCTCTACAGTATATTCAGATAAGAGATAGACCGGATGTAAACAAAAGGTTCGGGTGATTTTCACGCTAACGCCGCCGTCTCGACGTAAAACAGAAGCCCTCATTGGTCAATTCGCAATTAAATGCCTATGCCGAACGGCAGAGCAGTCGTATCAAGGCAGAGTCACATTCAGGTTCAGACGTGTTACGTATGTCGTGTGCATCATTGCAATTTGATATTTCTTTGGACGTTTTCGTTTGTTATCTTATTAAGTTGTTGAGTTTGTCGTTGTTATTGTTATACCTGGTTATAATTATAGGCTAATTTAAACGCCATTTTGAGATTATATTCGACTGTATTTCACCAAACATCAGACGGCATCCGAAGCTGGAAATCGAAGCGAAAATTTTGAAACCCTTATGTATATTTACATCATTATATATTTCTTACCCCACCCCCACATGATCCTATATCCATCACCAATCGTATACACATCGAATTGTGCTAATTTACTACAAAGTTACGCAAAGCAGCATCTACTATCTAAAATATGTACTGCGTGACTCTTAATACGTCCCTGCCGAATGTTACAGCGTTCGATGATCACGTGGTCTTGTTTATGTCCGGTCTATCTCTTATCTGAATATACTGTAGTTGCCCGATTTCAATATGGTAAATGCAGCACAAATTTGGCAACATTAGTAGGAGTTAGTTTTGCTAACCAACAGATATATCATTTGTGAGTGAATCAGTTAAAAACGCATTGTATAAGTTCCAAAATCATGAACACACGAGGAAAACGTTTGGTACAGATGGCCCTGAAAAGGTAAGTTTAAAACTTGACTGTAACTAAGCTCTGTTTTTCAAATCCGTGAATATGCTAAAAATATAGCATAACCTCACTCCCATTTCATAATTCCCAACGGCTGCTTTGCCGATCCCATAGCTATTGCAACGTTGTCAGACTTGTAATATCAGAATAGAAAAAGTAATAACTGATCAATCGTATTTCGAGTTGAGAAGAAACCTGCTGTAATTCATTGCATACCCAAAGATTAAAAAAAACTATTGGAAGCTTAAGTATAAACCAACTAGGTATTTGTTATTTCATTCTGTTTCATCCTAGTTTCACTAACATTTAGAGAGGTAAACATGAAAATGCACGAGTTGTAATGGTTTGATTGGAGCGTAGTTTAACTATGACCAAGAAATTTTTGCGAATAGCCTAAAATGGACAAAAGTATATTTTTCAGGTCGCTACCTGAAGAAGTCGATTCCGACTCAGAAGTAGATGATTCTGATCTTGATCCAGACTTCGACCCAGCTCTGGAACACCCTAAGAAAATTAAATCTTATTTTGGTCCAGAGGACTTGCTCCTTGATATTTCGAAAGTCCATAACGAGACAACACCAACTAATCCATCTACGAGTAGCTTGAACGATAAACCTGTTGTTAGTCATTTGGGTGACCTTCCAGAAGTCTCCTCTCTGGTCGCAAATAACAATGAAGATGCTACTGAGTTGTATTTACGTGATATGCTTGAGGCAGCATTACAATCAGTTTTTGAAATTGTTGAAAATCCGAATAAGAAGATGAAAAGACTTCGCAAAGAGAAAGAGAAAGTGAGAAGGAACCTCGAATCACATAAGCTGCTTCCTCCTTGCTTGGAATCTTGTCGCAAGCATTGCAGTACAAAAATTGATGAATATTCAAGGCAAAAAATATTAGAGAGCTTCTGGAAACTGAATTTTTCTCAACGAAGGTTGTATTTGACAGCATATGTTAAAGAAGAAAACGTCAAAACTAGAACTACCCAGGGAAACTTTTCTAAAAGAACCTCCACGTTAAAGTACTACCTACCTCAATATGGAGAAGATTCTCGATCAGAACTCAGAGTCTGCAAAACAATGTTTCTTCATACTTTAGGACAAAGAAATGATTCCATCATCACTCAACATCTGAAAGCTAGAAGGAGAATAGACAGCAATGTAGAAATCAAAGATAGAAGAGGAGAATCAGCTAGAAGATCTGCGCAAATGCAAAAGGCTATGACAGATACCGTAATCGAGAACCATGTAAACTCTTTCCATCCATATGTTTCTCATTATAAATTAGACCATGCTCCCTTACGACGATATCTTTCACCTGAGATAAATATTTCGCTTATGTGGAGAGATTTTTGCACGAGCAGACAAAAAATATCATACGAGAAGTATAGACAAGTTGTTGATAAGCTCAATATTGGCTTCGATCATCCCTCTCAGGATGATTGTGGAGTTTAGTAAGTACTCAATTCATAATGGAGAAACAGCTGTTGATCTTAGTCATAATCCTGCCGCATGTGAAACTTGTATCAAGCATAATGTGCATAAGACACACTACACTTCAACTAGGCGTGCTTACAAGGAAGATAAAGACCGTGACTGGCAAAGAGGAATTGAAATTTATACTGTAGATCTACAGAAAGTTCTGCTCCTTCCCAAGATGACTACTAAAGAGTCATTTTTCATACCAAGGCTAGTGACTTTCAACGAGACATTCGCTCCCTTGCACAAAGATGATAATAAGTGTTATGTCTGGCATGAAGCTACTAGAGGACGCAATGCTCCAGATATTGCCTCAACGTTCTATCATGTCATTAAAAATTCTAACCCAAACGTTATGTCTTTTATCTTTTGGATGGATAACTGCTCCGCCCAAAATAAGAACTGGACGTTGTATACAATGTTTGCCTGTTTGGTGAATGCAGATTGGGGACCGGAAAACATCATTGTGAAGTACTTTGAGCCAGGACATTCTTTTATGAAGGCTGATTCAGTACATGGACAAATAGGACGCGAGTGGAGAAAGCGTAAACAAATATTGGACGTTAATGATTTTGTTGATGTGATAAATGCATCGTCTAAGAAAAATAAACCAATAGTTATGCGTCACAGTGATTTCTATCCTTTTATCGATGGCTCCAAACAACGCCGTAAAAATATATCTGGGGAAGTAAATATTCCGCTGTTAGACCAAATCAAGATTGCCGAGTTCAGAAAAGGTTCCAGGTCTCTATTCTACAAAACATCGTTTGATGAGACTGAATACGCTGAGGCGAACTTTTTAAAGAGTAAGTTTGATATAAATCAGCAGCCTGTAGCTTATAGTAATGATAGAGGGATCAACACAGCAAAAAAACAAAAAATAGTTGAAGAACTATGTCCTGCGATGGAATCCAGAAAACAACTATTTTGGAGACAATTACCAACAAATGATGATGTACCTGATCTTTTATGTCGATCGGGAGAATCTGCATAAAAGCAACAGCATCCTGGATTTTCAAGAATACTAATTCGCAGCCCCTTAAAACTGTATAGAATCGACAAGGATCTTGAATTCCAATGTGAAAAACAAGTAACTTTATTTACTGTAGTATTTACTTGTTGTATTCTATGACAATAAAATTTCCAAACAAAGTATCTAATTTAACTTTATGAAGACAGTTTTTAAACAAGAATTGTTTCAATGGATGGAAAGGGCAAATTTTTGTCCTTTACAAAAGGCTTTTTCTACTATTAGTGACTTAAGTCTACTTATCGGCTTGAGTAGAAATGTTCTTCATTGATTTCTGTAAAAGTCACAAAAACAAGTTACTATCTTTTGCCATTGCACGGGAGAGCTCCCTACCCTTCCCCCCTATAAGAATATCGATTTGTAGCCTCACATTTCAAGGTTAGACTTCTTGTAATGTTTCTGTTCAACATTCGGCGATTTCTGACAATTTTCCCAATAAAACATGATCATTGTGACATTAAACCTGGCAACGCTGCATAGTAGAGGGAACTCTCAGCGTCACGTTGATGGTTCGTCACCACGCACAAGATTGTAATCAGTTACGGATACCCGTTTATGAGCGCGAACGTTTTATGCACGTCTTGACTTGATTTTTCTTGCGGAAATTTAATATTAGTCTAAAATGTCTGAGACAGATACAGCTGATGAAGTGGTTGAAATCAGCTTAATGCCACCCAGCAAAAGGGCTAAAAAGCTTCATCTTAGCGCAGGTGAAAAACAAATTATTCTAAATATCTACAAGAACCAGATGCAAGAGAATAGTGGATTGGCTATAGAAAATATCATATGTAAGGTTGCTGAAATTTCTGGAGTAGGTCGATCAAGTGTTTACAAAATCTTGAAGGAATATAGACAAAATCACTCACTATCTGAGCCAAAAACATATCCAGCGACAAAAAAATCATCGAAAAAATAGATGACTTTGACAAAAGTGCCATTAGAAGAAAAGTACATCACTTTTTCTTCAGAAATGAAATACCTACAATAGATAAAATATTGAAGCAAGTGAATGATGATGAGGACCTGCCAAATTTTAAAAGATCTACGTTCCATAAGCTGTTGAAAGAACTAGACTTTCGATTTTTGAAAAGAGGAAGGAATAGTTTATTGATAGAAAAGAAGGAAATTGTTATCTGGAGGAGAGAATACCTTAGAAAAATTAGGCAATTCCGCGCTGAAGGAAGAAAAATTTATTATTTAGACGAAACATGGGTGAACGCGGGGCATACGCAGGGAAAGGTTTGGGTAGACAGATCTGTGAGGTCCTCAAGGCAGGCTTTTTTAGATGGCCTTTCGACGGGATTGAAAAATCCTGCAGGTAAGTTTCGAAGTATATGAACTTTTTTGGATGCAGATAATTCATTTTCTGATCGAATCAATGATTTGGAAGCTCCGAACTCAGTTTTGCTATCTCATCCAAGTTTCTGAGTATTTCCTTCACCCAAAAACTAATCTAAGACCCTATCCTACACTAACCTAAAAAGAGTAAGTTGCTTAATTTCGTCATTTAGTGCGCTCGCTGAGAAGTAAAATAACTAATTACTTTCAGGCAAGGGAAAACGCCTGATCATTTGCCACATAGGTAGCGTAGATGGATTTGTTCTTGAAGCATTGTGGGCATTTGCATCCAAAAAAACTGGAGACTATCACGAAGAAATGGATGGTAACTCATTTGAAAATTGGTTCAAAAAAATTTTGCCGACACTTGATGATAACGCAATTATTGTGATGGATAATGGCCCGTACCACTCCAGAAAATTGGAAAAAATTCCAACAATGGCCACCAAAAAGGCAGACATTCAACAGTGGCTTGTCTCAAAGAAGATCGACTTCGACCAAACAATGGTCAAAGCTGAGCTGATAAATATAGTCAAGCGACATAAGTATAAATATGATTTAAAAATTGTTGACGAAATGGCCAAAAACCAAAATAAAACGATTCTCAGGCTGCCTCCCTATCACTGCGAACTGAATCCTATCGAGTTGATTTGGGCCGACATAAAGCAATACGTGGCGTCAAATAACAGCACTTTTAAGTTTTCTGACCTTAAAAAACTGTTTGATGTTGCTGTCGATAGAATTACGCCAGCAAAATGGAGAACATGTATTGACCATGTCCAAGAGAAGGTTGAAACCAAAATGTGGGATATGGACAATATCATTGACACCCAAGTTGAACCCCTTATAATTGACATCAACAATTCTGATGATTCAAGCTCCTCGGAATACAGCATATAAATCGATTGATACCATTAAGACTGGCAGTTTAACGGGCTATTTGGCAAGACAGGTAAGTTCATTATAGACTGCAATCAAAGTGTAAGTTTCTAGTTATTAATGTGGAAATTCCAAATTTATAATTACACAAAATTAGGGTTAATTTAGGAGTTCCAAAGCATAATAGTGCCATTTTGACCTTCTTCCTATTTCTCATGTAAATTTTAATAGCAATCAAACTAACAAACTTTATGGAGTCTGTAATAAACTTTTGTACTACTACTACTACGTCTGTAGTTTCTATTTGCTCAAAAAAATTTGCTCTGCATTGTGAATAGAAGGTTGATTTGTAAATATTATTGGGTATATATGTAAGTTAATAATAAAATATGAACAATTTCAATTGAGATGGTCCACAAGTTTTTTTCGTGTGCGTTTTAGTAACATTTTGCTGGAATGGTGAATACAGAATTTTTGGCACTGATTCCTAATGTCGAAATATGATTAGAAAGGCGTGGTATATTCCTGATAATTTACTATGCTTTTGATAGAATTTACAGCAACACATATCTTGTACGACATTTTTTGATAGATCAGTCACAATAGCTTGATACGGCCCTGTAGCGTCTCCTACGGTTAAGTTCTTGATCACGTGCAATACGGGTGTATATGTTTGATTTTACTTTGTTTCTTCGATGGATACAGTTTAGCCACCAAAGAGACTGGGATAGTTTTCTTCACCTCTTGTTATTGGCTTACCGATCGTCGATTCATGAAAGCACAGGAGAGACCCCGGCTCGAATAGTTATTGGAAGAGAACTTCGTCTCCCATGTCCTCTAAAGTTTCGCTGTCCACCAGGAACGTGATCTGCGTAGAAGAATGGACGCCATCCATAGCCAGGTTCTTGTTTCAATTCAAGGTGCCAGCGACTGGATGAAGGAAGCTTATGGCGTTAATGCCAAAGACCAGAGGTATGACAACGGTGATACGATTTGGCTTTACGACCCAAAGAGGCGAAAAGGGCTGTCGCCTAAACTTTAATCATCCTGGGACCGGCCATATAAAATTCTGGAGGCCATTAACGATGTTCGCTACAGGATCCAGAAGGCACCACGCGGTAAAGCCCGAATTGTACATTTGAACCGCCTTGCACTTTATCATGGACACAACGAAGATGCGGCGGTGCGGCAAATCCAACCAGAACCGGACATGTCATTTGACCAATTTCACCACGCTAATGGCCATAAGAGTCGGTATGGCGTGACATGTGAAGTACAGCAAGATCTGTTTACGACTTCACCGGAGTACGCCTTGGCACACTGTGTGGCTCAAGACTTGCGAATGTCGAGAGGTATAGCAAAGGTATTTCTTAGGAAGTTTTGAAGAGTGCACGAGCGGCGACAATCTAACCCGGAAGTCGGAGAAGTACTCCAGATAACTAAAGAGGGTGCCAACCAAAAGATAATAATAATAATAATAAATCGTCTTTATTTATAAAGTCACATAGTATCGGGCGAAGTTTAGCTAAATAGCTACTCTTCCACTTAACCCTATTATTTTCATGGTTGTGAACCAATGTAAATACATGTAATTAGCATGTATATACAGGGTTATCCAAATTAAGTGTCCACCATTAGTAACTTTGTTATTAGTGAAAATACAAAGTTGTTTGAATTAGCAAACTAGTAGCATTTTTAACGCTGGTAAAAATGAGAAATAAAAAAAAACAATTGAGAGTCGTTATTTTGATTTTTTTCAGTAAAATAACATTTTTTTAAATGGAAACCCCTGTATATTATATTTTTTTCTGTTAAAGCATCAAATTTTAAACAAAAAAGTTCATAATGACTTTTCCGCTAAAGTCAAAAATAAAGTCAAAATAACGATAAATATTTTTAATTATTTGCAGTATTATAATATTAAGACGGCTATGAAAACAACATGGCGTTCGCGATTTGACAGCATTAAGATAAGCGACAAATTGTTAAACTGGACATACTCGCAACTAGAAGGCTTTGGAAAACAATGATAAAATCAAATAATGTCAAACATTAGTGTAAATACTTGTTTATAAGCTTTATTGTGTCATTAATTTAAAGAAAAATGTTCTCCCATGAAGAAAATGGTGTATTTTTTAATTCACCGGTTGAGCAACCGGTGCCACCGGTGGACCAGACATCTGTCCTTTCAATTCAACCGGTTGCTGCCATCACCATACAAAGCTGTCAACAGTGTCAACCATAAGCATCAGTGGTGGAATCAACCGGTGAATTAAAGAATCCACCTTATGTGTGATATGTTAGAATGCTATTTAGTGTGCAGAAAATCCTCCTTGAGAGCAACAGTGAATTATATCCCGCTCGCATTCAACCGTATGAACGATATTTTCTGAGACTTTATCGAAAATTTAGGGGCAACGAAAATGTTTTTGCTAAAACAAGGGCAAAAAAAGAATTCATAATAAGCGAGGCCACGGAAATTGCAGTTATTGGATATTTTGAAGCTTATCGTGAGAATTCAATAGCAGATATTCTCAAGGACTCTAATTTCAGTTATGGTACTGTTCAAAGGATTTTAAAAAAATACAAATTTATTCCGTATAAGTACCGACCAGTTCAAACGCTTTTGGCAGGGGATCCAGAGAGAAGACTTGTTTTTTGCCATTGGTATCTTAGCTTCTGTCGCCAAAATGTAAATAACTTTCGTTACCTTTTATGGACAGATGAATCAAATTTTTCAAATTCTGGAATGTTTAATAGAAAAAACCACCATTATTGGTCAAGAGAAAATCTTTTGTTAGTACATCCAAGTGGCCCACAAGTCCGTTTCAGTTTCAACGTTTGGTGCGGTATAATTGGTTCAAAAATTGTTGGCCCGTTCTTTTATGAGGGAACCCTAACTGGTGAAAGATATGTGGAATTTATGTCAGAAATTCTGACTAATTTCTTAGACGAATTGGATCTTATAAGTAGACATCATCTGCATTTTCAGCAAGATGGCGCACCTGCCCACGACTCCAGAGGTACTTATCATTTTTAAGTACTACTTTTAATGATCAGTGGATAGGAACAAATGGCCCAATACAGTGGCCTCCCAGATCACCAGATCTAAACCCACTTGATTACTTCTTGTGGGGTTACTTAAAGAACCAAATTTACAAGCGAAGGTACGATAACCTTGACGCGTTAAAGACTGCAGATAGGGAAAAGATAACCCAGATAGATGGTAGGACCATACTTAAGACAGTTCGAGCAGTTGAAAAACGTGCCCAAAAATGTATTGAAGAACAAGGTGGTGTTTTCGAGCATCTTCTTTAAAAAAAATTGTTATTGTATTTTGTAAGATTATAAGTTGATGTTGAAAATAAAGTTTGTCGATACAATTTAATTGTTTCAGATTGGAGGCCATAACTTCAACAATTTGTAACCTAGGAGAAAAGTTATTGTAAGCTTTTTTGTTTAAAATTTGATGCTTTAACAGAAAAAAATATAATATACAGGGGTTTCCATTTAAAAAAATGTTATTTTACTGAAAAAAATCAAAATAACGACTCTCAATTGTTTTTTTTTTATTCTCATTTTTACCAGCGTTAAAAATGCTACTAGTTTGCTAATTCAAACAACTTTGTATTTTCACTAATAACAAAGTTACTAATGGTGGACACTTAATTTGGATAACCCTGTATACAGTGGCTAACCAAAGGAAAACAAAAATATTGCAAGACATAGTATAGAAAATATAAACAGATTCAGCAACACGTCAAATAAAATTTTTCTGGCGGTTACTAATCTAAACTACAAACTACTACTTAATTACTACTAATAGTCATTGTTTTATAGCAAATGCTGCTTGACACAAACTTTAACGTTATACAATTTGACACAATTATACCTAAAAGAGCGAGTAAATAAAGCCGTACGGTGCCGTGGAATATCTAATAATTTGCCATACCTGAGCATGGCGATCTCTAACAGATTGCCTGAAAACAATTTTTTGAAGAGGTATTCGGGAGTTCCCGTGATAATCAGATTATGAATGAACTTCAAGATAAAATACTCGTAAGAACTATTAATATCTAACCATTTTAAACTACGAAGACAGTGTGAAACATGGTTATATTTTCTTAAACCGTAGATGAGGCGACAGCACGAATTTTGAATCAGTTGAAGTCTGCGAATTGAGACTTGATCTAAGTAAGGATAGAAAACTATAAGGCAGTAGTTGATTTTTGAGAGAACTAGGCATTCACAAAGATGTTTTTTCAATTTGAAATCGATGAAATGCCTATTAACAAACAATGTTTTTAGTACAACAAACCAGTTTCTTACTAATTTAGATATATGCTCACGAAAACGTAAATCCTTGTCAAGTAAGACACCCAAATTTTTTTCAAGATCCTCATAAACTAAAGAAGTGTCATTAATGCGCACTGTCGTGTTATTTCTGATATTAATGATTTTGTTTTTTGGTGCAAAGAGAATAGCTTTAGATTTAGAGGCATTTAGCGTTAAGGAGCTATGCTTGGAAAAACTAACAATAATGGCTAAGTCACAATTCAACTCGTCAACAGCTGCTACACAGCCATCTGGATCAAAAGTTTTACATATTTGTGTATCATCCGCAAAAATCATCACTTCAGAGGAGCGTATCAGTTTACACATGTCTGATATGTAAATGGATAACAATAGCGGTCCTAGAACAGAGCCTTGAGGGACCCCTGATATCACATTCTTATATGTCGAATATGAGTTGTCCAAATTAACCCTTTGCATACAATTCATGAGATAACTAGTAATAAACTTGATAGATGCTTGAGAAAATCCAATATATTTGCATTTTGAGATCAAAAGTGAATGATTGATAGTGTCAAAAGCCTTGGAGAAGTCAAGCAGTACAAGAGCCGCTGCTTGACCCCGATCCAAAGCCTCCCTACTTTGAAGCCAGACTGGTTTTTTGGAATTATGTTATTCTCAGAGCAGTACTCTTTCAATTGATCATGTACTATCCTTTCCAATATTTTTGATAGAATCGGAAGTAAACTTATTGGGCGCAGGTCGGAATAAGCTGAAGGGATATTAGTTTTTGCCAGGAGAACAATTACTGCTTGCTTCCATGCAGAGGGAAAATAGTGAAGTTCAAACAAGAATTAATCAAATGCGTTAAATATTTGCCAATCACAGGAAGACACAGTTTTATAGTATTAGGCGTAATACCATCATGCCCACAGGCATTAGATTTTATTTTAAATAAATGCGAACGTATATCTTCCTCAGTGGTCATGACCAGATCAAATTTGAGCGATTCATCAAGTATGTTATTATCATAAAATTCTATTTCACTAGCACAGAGCCGAGTATTATCTTCAAAAACAGATAAAAATAAACATTTATCTGCGTTGCGTTACGTAAACTAACAGGTATGTGGTTACGCTTCTTAGTCTGGATGTTCAAATTCCTTATACCCTTATATAAAGAAGATGAATTATTAGTTTCTTGTTAGTGCTGAAGATAACCAGAGTTTTCTCTACGCTGTGATGCAAGAGCATAATTTCTCAGTTCTGTGTATTCTGTCCAGTTCTGATTTGTCCTATTGTGTTTGTATTTTATTAAAGCTGCATCCCTCTGCTTGAAAATGGCTCTTAAGTTTTGTGATAACCATGGAGCAAAGGGCTTGCTTACCCTCGCTGTACGCAACGGTGCATGTATATCAAACAAAGAAATTATAAGATCATTTAGAAATTCCACTTTGTCATCAATGTCTCGAATACAAATAATATCATTCCAGTTTATACTCAGTAAGTCGGCCATAAAGTTGTCATGATCAAAATTTTTGAAATCACGGTAAGTGACAATTTTTTGTGGGGTCTGATGTTTATCAAAAGATGCTTCACAGTAGACCAACCTATGATCGGTGAAGACATCTACATTTAGTGTACCAATATTATGACACTTCAGGAAAATTTACAAAAATAGGATCTAATAATGTAATAAAAGAAGAACAAATTCTTGTAGGCTCGTCAATCAATTGTTTAAAATAATATGAGTCGAAGCAGAGAGAGATTTTGTTACTTAGATTTAGCAAATTGACATTTACATCACCCAATATGATAATATGGTCGTAAACAGTAGACAAATGCGATAAAAGTGTATCCAGAGTTTCAACTGCAGAATTGAGATTAGCCTTAGGAGGTCTGTACAACAATCCTAAGGCAACTGAGGACGACTTGAATTGAAGTTTCAACCAAAATTGTTCAATTACTGATGGATCATCTCCAATATAATCAGTTATAGAAATATGTTCACACTTTATATCAACATTTATATACACCCCTATTCCGCCACCCCTACTGTCTGTATCCTTCCTATGAAATGTATAACCATCTGACAAGTATCTGAAGGAACCATCTCAGTGAGCCATGTTTCAGTGAGGGCAAATACATCAAATTGTTTTTCTTTGATGAGGACCGACAAGTCAGTCAGTGAATGAAGGTACAAGGGGACGAATATTGACATGTCCAAATTTCACTGAGCTTACCTTAACCATAATCGATCCTACCTTTTAATTTAGAGATGTACCTTAAGTACAGAGGGCAAGTCATATCCCTTGCTGAATGGTCCACTGCAATGTTTTCCTTCTTCCAATGATTATAATTAATACAGCTACTACATGATTTATTTGTAGATTTACATTCTTTTAAGCAATGATTTCCGGAACAAGAAGGGCACCTAGCAGATGCAGATCTGCACTGCTTATCAGTATGACCAAACACTGAGCACTTATAGCATTGCACAATTTGAAGGTGATCGGTAACTGCACATCTCTTCCAACCGATATAGACGTATTCTTGCACCATTACTTTTTTCCGAACCTCCGGAGAAACCTCTAAGATGAGGTCACAGCCATTCCGCATTTTTAATTTGGTGATCACTTTTATATCCGAAGAATTGAAGGTATCCAAGTTGTTTTGACAAAATAGGCTACCTATTATTTGATCGTCACTGTTTAGATCATCTGTTATTTCAACATTCTTCACACGAATGCGTGGTTTATGTTTTTTTGCCTCATCGACAACGTATTCGTCTCCTAACTGGGTTTGTAGAACGTCTTTGAATTTGTCCAAATTTGATTTTTTGTTGCAAATGACGGCAACTCCATTCTTTATCTTCCTTGTACTATTTATATAGACTTCCAAATTGGCAGGGTTTAATACTTGAGCCATTCTTTTGAAAATATCCTCAGAATTTCTTTCAGAAGATTTTACCAGCAACACAGATGAGTCATTGTTAGTATACAATGGCTTTTTTAACACTTGGATGTACGATTCTGCTGAAGCAGTTTTTTGCAGCATTCCACTATTACTCGAAGACGTTTTTGTCGCATTCAGCTCCTTTTCGTACACATCAATTTTAAATTTCTGCAACTGTGATGCATTCTCTAATTCCGTTACCAATTTTTCAAGTATGCACTTTTCGCGTTGTAGACATTCAATTTCCTTTTGTTTTAGACATTCACTTTTTAGCTTGTTTTTTTCAGCTTGTCCACCATTGTCGTCAACACAAATCGCTCCATATTCTGCGTTTTTACACATATCACAAAACCAAGCAAAATTATTAGATTTGGACAAAATTTTCAGGGCATCGTCCTTCACTGGCACGCACTGACTATGGTAACTCTTTTTGCATTTTTTGCAGCACACTAACTTACTATTCACGATAAAATTATCGGAGCAACGCTCACATACATGTACGTCACCCGCCATCTTGTTGGTACCTATCTAGTACCAAGAAAGCGTCGTATTAGAAACCGAATTACGAAGATGTTTGGAACGCTTTGTGTTCGCTTAGAGAAGTCTTGCTTGCCGAGGACCTGCGAAAACTGGCAATACCTAAGCTGGCATGTGGACTGGACAATCTGGACTGGAGAATCAGTCGAAGCATGCTTGAGATAGTCTTCCGATATACAGGCATTCGATTTGTGGTATGTTGTCACAATCCTAGACGGCTACCTCCGGGAAAGAGTGTGGATTGTTACTTCTTCAATACTCTATAACATCCACCGCCAGTAATGGCCGATCTCTGCCTTTATGCGAACCACGACCGCAGAAGCAGCTTGGCGGCGTCTGTGAGGACCGTGTCAGTGGATCGCCTTCTAGATCGACGCGAAGTGACCTCCAATATTCTAGATGTCGCTTTGTGGTTCACCCGGCCTTTCTCGAAGCAGCAATTGGGACTATATATAACTCGGCGGCCGGGAGATGGAAGCAGAGAGTAGTTTACATCAGAGCCGAGCGGAGTTGAGTATAGTGCAGTCAATGGCGACATAAGAATTAGTCAGACAAAAATAGTGGTGCATATAAATGTTCTATAAAGTTAAATAAATTAGAGCATTTCTTTTTGTGAAATCCACTGTTTTAATCCACACCCAAAATAACCCAGAAAAACGCTACAATAAGTTAATTAATAATTCCAGAAAAAGTATGTCTTATTTAAAAAATACTCTTACTGTTGAGCGGCTGATCCACACACACATTAAAAAAGTCTCAATACGCAAGCTCCGCCCACAAAAGAGTAGGAGATATTCCAGGTTAAAGAGACTTTGAAGACAATAGTGCGGCACGGTTTAGTTTTTTAGGCATTTGCAAAAATAAAGGCTACATAAATCTTTGGTATACCCTAAGCACTTTGAATATCTCCAATGCAGCGTTTTTTTGGGAGGAAAAGGAGTTTAGAAATTCTATTTCATTTCTTTCATTGGCCTGTATAAAAAAGGTAGACCGCTGAGAAAATCACAGGTTAGATTGTTCTAGACGTTACGTTGAATTCTTCATATTTATGATTCTGAAGGGGATAAAACTATGATAAGTGGCTTGAAAAAGGTGGGCACTTGTAGTTTTTTACACTTCACTCTCCGTTATATTCAGACTACCCTTTACTAATAATGACCTGAGTGAACTTATAACAAAGTCTATTAAAGAAGAAACCCCACTCGCGTCTTAAGGATAATAGAATGACAAAGACTCTACCTCATGAAAAATTAATTAATAGTCATCTGCAATTTTTCACATACAATTCGAAATATCGAAGAGGGCTATTATACTCAACTATCGATCAGGAATTTTGGCTTGAGGACACAGTTTCGATGATAGTCATACGTCAAAGCAAACATCGCTTTGACACATGGTCGAGAAATCAGATTTCGACGAACCGACAGATAAGGCCTCGATCATTGCCAGTGCTCCCACTATCGCACATGGTAGCGGTTCAATGTTGCAGCGAAGTGTCCTTTTGGATCAACCATTTGAAGTGGTGGTTTGGTCATCCGGAGTGCGCTTAATATTCAACATGACCAAAAGCCTTAAAATCTAACCGAAGTATTAATTTTTCATTTGATACCCCTGCATGTGAATTCCTGGTCCCCTATTCTTGAAAACAAAGAATCGAATTACTGAGAGAAAGAGGGTGTGGTTCTCTTCGCTGGGGAATGAAATCAAAATCTGACAATTACATAGTGTGACTGCATTCAATTTCGGCAAAACAAAAACTTCCGGGCTTATTCATATCAGTTCTGTCTATACAGATGGGATTGATGATCGATGGCAAGTCTCTCGTTCTTTTTTTCCAGAGCATAATTTGGGGAGAGCCTATTCTATCAGCGTTCAAGAATACAGTTTTCCGAAAAGTAACAAACCCACGCCTACTTTCTCTGTTATTCTATTCCCTCATTTCTAGAATTGAGTCCTCTTTGCCGCGACATTAAATGGCGAGAAATAAAAAATATGTAGTCACGAGATTTGAAAAATTTGAACAAAATAACTCTTCAAAGAATTGATTGATGGCCAACTTAAAGCCATGTACAGATATGTAACAACACCGCGAACCAAACCACGCGACGAACCGCGCTGCGACAGTGTAGACGGTGAAAAGATCGCCGTCGCGAACCTGATTAGCGTTAAGTCGAGAATAGACATGCCAGTGGCCAGTAAATTGTATGCTAACTACTTGTCCTACGACATCCCAAAATACACATGCTAGTTTTGGATATGCCAACTTTCCTTTATCTTCTTTAACTCTTGGTGGTAGGTTGTTCTTAGGTTTTTTATCTTATTTTTCATAAATTTCAATGTTAAATTGTTTTCAGTCATTTGCTTCAATAAAGACTTGTAAGCATTGTCTCTAGCGATTTTATTTTTATACAATAGAGATCATGTATTCCATAAACACGGATACTCCCTATACTGCATAACAAACAATAAAGTCTTTTCGTCTCCCCAACGAGCCATTTTGCCCGGAACTAAACAAATAGTTCTATAGTTCAAGAATCCGTTTTTCACATGCGAGTTTCTCCCTCGACGAAATCCTGCTACTGGCACACAAAAATCAAACGTCTTGCGATCTACTGGCGTGCTATCTTCTAGCGTGCTTTCTTGCTGGCAAAGAAAGTCACACATGCAAGTAGCACGAACAATCCAGTAACTGGCATGCTTCTGTGCGTGTAACAAGCATGTGTATTCTCGCCTTATCAGCTCGCCGTTCGGCCCGCAGGCTTATTACGTAAAAATTTCCAACTCTGATCGGTGAGCAACCGACCGATTGTCGACCGACTGAAAAATTCGTATTCGCTAACGCAATTGGCAACCGGTTGCTCAAGTGTCATATGATGATAAACAATCGTCGTGTTTATAAATCGAAAAATGATAAATACTTTGTGGATCGTGATTGTGAATTTAAAATTAAGTATGGGACCTAGATTTGTTAAAAACTGAACACGTAAGTACATATGTATATAATACGATGAACTGTTCTTAAAAATGAATTTCTGTGTGAGCCGCAGATGAATGGATGTTTACATAAGTCAAGAGTGGACCCTTGATAAACACTTAATATATACACACAGTCATTTGTCGACAAATAGATGACACAGTTTCACATAGATTAGCTAAGTCATCGTTGGTTGTCAGAGCGGTCCGTGGGACCTTAGCTCTTGAGTCACAGTGTCAGTTTGTAAGTCTGTCAAGTCTGGTAACCCAGAAACCAGACAATTTTAAGGAAAAAAGGGAAGGAAAGGAGAGAAGGAAGAACGAGAGCAAAGGGGAAGAAGAGAATCTTTTTGGTTAGGCAGCGTTTAGGCATTGTTAAAATCACTTCACAGATTTTGATATGGTCTAAAAATATTCGATTTTTTCTAAAGATTATGTCAAAATGCTCCAATTTTGGTTGTTCTAAGTTCACGAGTTAATTTTGACTGACTCACGCAACAGAGGGTTGCTGTGCGATTCCGCTAGGCTATAGCGCTGCTACGCCTGTAGCTTAATGTAGTCCTTTAGGTAAGGGACAGCGAGGTCTCTATGTAGAGTTTCGTTAGAGACATACCATGGGGCATCAACAATAGTGCGCAACGTCCTGCTTTCACTGATCAACAGCCAAAAAATATCCTAAATGAAATCAACAAAATATTACTATTTTTAATGTGCTAAAACCGGAATGAAACTTATTTTTTCAATATTAGTTCAAGTTTTAGAGATACGGTAATTATATGTGTTCCTGCTGTGACAGTGTTAATATACTGTAATTCACAAGAATGCACGTGCTACATTTTTATATTCGGCAAGGAAAGGTGATGTAATCGGCATGATTGTGTTACGTTATATGTACATACGTGTACATTATATTGTTTTTTTTTTTTATACTCCAACTACCACGAAGGCCTAAGGCCTAAGCACCCATTGGGTACCGTGGGGCTATGGGGGATACATGGGAAAGGGGGGACGCCACACGGACTCTGGCGAGGGAACACGTGTGCATGCAACATGCACACATTCTGGCTCCGCCTACGAGAACCGCCGGGTGGTACCTCCGCGTTCGACAGTCAGAGACCATCTACCACCTACGGACAATCACAACATCCATGGCCAAGAGAAACATTTCTCCTGGGACGGGACTCGAACCCGCACAGCGCACGGCGGCTGATCAGGAGACCGAAGAGTCTACTACTGCGGCCACCGCTGCTGCCTAAAACAAACACACAACATCCATGGCGAAGGCGAGATTCGAACTCGCGGCCCGGCCGGCCGGCTGATCAGTAGCACGACACTCTGACCCACGCGGCCAACCGAGGTCCCGAACTGTTTTATACTATACTACAACTATTTAAAACTGTAATGACTCATACGCGTGATCAGAGCTCGATCCCGGCTTCCTTCCAGTACAGCCGTATAGCGTACGACATATGTCGTTTCTGTGGCTTTGCGGTGGTCAACAGCACAGACAGAGATGGAAATAATGGCTGATTGTTCTCCGCCGGTGGAACCAATGAAATCAAAGACGCGCCTCGACCGGCAGACTCATAGGCGTCGGCAACGCATTGGAACGTGTTTCGTTGAGCGATCGCATATTGTGTGTTTTTATAAGAATTGTTGTGTGATTGTTATTTTTGTGGTTTCTGTGGTTACTGTTTTGGTTATACTTAACCATGGAGAGTACAAATGGCACGAGTGGAAGTACTGAAAGCCAGGGAACAAGTAGACGGCTTCGAAAAGCACTGAAGAGGGACGCGAAAGAAATCGTGCTCAACGTGTTCAATTATCTGAACAGGACTATGTCGCAGGGAGATGCACTCGCGCGTTGTGAAAGTATGACAGGCGTTCCAGAGTGGACCATTCGCAGGGTCGTGCATGAAAAGAAGAAAACTGGAGCTACTACTGATCCAAAGTTTAATTTGAAGGGACGAAAGGCCGTTAAATTGGATGACGATAGCAAAATG